GACCATGTGGAGAAAGGAGAGATTCTCCACAACCATGACGGGACCTTCCAGTTAAGTGTTAACATGAACGCTTCATCAGTGCCATCTGAAGACTGGACGAGCTACAGCTGTGTGTTCCAGTTCTCTGGTGTGGAGGACAACATCATCACCAAACTGAATAAATCAACGATCAGGACCAATTGGGGTAAAATAAAATTAGCAATGATGAAAGTGAGAAACACAGTGCTCTGATGTTTTTGTGCTCTCAGAATAGTAAAAAATATCATTACCGTTTATTGACTGGAGGAAAAGTTAGTCAGGGATGGCCTAATAAGATACAAAGAAAAAAACTGCCACCCTCCCTTAGCTATTATACACTCAGATTTGTGCCATTTTACTGGCTTCATAGATCAAAAGAGGCAGCACCAAATATGTGGATAACGAATCTGAAATTTACATTTAGCAAAAAGTGCCTTTTACAAATCCCTGGGCAGATGATGGGAGAATGTCACTCTTTTTCAATTTCACATTACTGTTATATATTATAATTATACAACTATTATTAGCATTTTTCAGACCTGCTTTGAAGTATGCAGTAAATACTATATACTTGCAAATATATATTATATACATATACTTTTACAGACACACATACTCACATATATGTAGCACCATAGAGATTACAGTATTGCATAAATACTCTGTGTCATAGGAGGAAGGATGTACTGTATATAAATTATGATCTAATTATGTTTTGCTCATGTTTTACTGAGCAGAAAGGTGTGCTGACACGAAGATAACCATCACTGCTGTTGTGGTTGTTCTTGTTCTTCTCATCCTCGTTGCTGCAGTTGGATTTGTTGTTTACAAAAAGAAGAAATGTGAGGGCTCTAAAGGAGGTGAGCTGATGTTTTTACAAAGACTAGAAAACTGAAGCTAGCAGTTCACTAAAGCAGGAAGGAAGTGATAATACAAGACTCAGTTCTTTCTTTGCTCTGAGGTGTCTGTGAAGAAAAACTATATTCATACAGTACCAACTGTTTTCGGTTATTTTGTACATAAAATCCAGTCCAGGATCAGAGGACTAACAGTGTGTTTTGCATTTTACAGCTCCTAACAACCTCTCTGAACTGTCTGAGAGACTGAATCCAGAGACCACATAAACCTGCACACAGAGATTGCTTCACTTTTAAACAGTAAAAATCACAGGAAAAAGTTTCAAAGCAGTGTTTCCACTTCATTGTATTTCAGGTATTTAGATTTTCTGAAATGCCCCAAATTGTTAACATTCTTTTATTCTGTTATTTATTACTGACATGCCCCCACAGGCAGAGAAGTGCAGGCAGATCAGAAGATATTCAAGCGAAACTGATCTGAGATGTGCTAACCACATAAGTTAAACATATAACACTGTAACCACAAACCTAGAAAACCTAATGAACTGCACTTGTCAGTGAGCGGTTAACCAGTAAATTCATTTCTTCTCTCCGTAATCAATTAAGTGCTTAGTGTGACAAAGTGGGTGAGAAGACCATTTGTCTATATTCTTAGTTAACATTCTTGTTTTGCTTTAACCATATTTCACATGTAATCTGCAATAGGCAAACATCTACTATCCTGGGTTTGTCTATGTTTTGCACTTTTACAGATTATATAATATAACATCTTGATTTAAATCAATCCCTACAAGTTTAAGTTAACATCATTTATTTCAACTGTTAATTTGTATTGTTTAGAACTTACCTTACCTACCTGTCTTCCAGAAACAAAAGGAGGAATTTTAGTTTTACTTCCTGCTTTATAGCTTCTGGGTTCATCTGAGGTCACAGGAAGAGACTAAGTGCAGAAGGGGAAGAACTCTTATAATTTAATAAAGTTGATTTTAGAGGGTTTATGAAGAAATAGATTTATTGTTGTAATATGTATTGATTACACCACAGAGTTTATGTTGCCAGTAAAGAGGAGTAGTAGAGTTTGATAATAATCATGTTCATCTTACCTACCTACTGAATGGAATAGTCCAGAGGATAAATTGTTTGATTAAGTGGACTATTTAAGCAGAAGAACTCAGGTGTTTCAAGGAAAAAAGGTTCAGGTCAGTGTAGCTGTGCACAGTTTGACCTTAATTTCCGTTGATTTAAGTTCAGTTATGTTTATTTGAACTGAGGTTATTATAGAGTTGAGTTTCTTTGTAAATATTGTTTGGGTCACAAAATGGTGAATAAATCACTTGCTACACTGGACAGCATCAGTCTCCTGCACTTCTTTGACCGCTTAAGTCAAGTCCTACCACACTTGGAAAAAATAATTCTACTTCTGGGAAGTGTTTGGGGATGACTTTTTCCTGTTCCAACTGTGCACTAAGCAAGGTCTGGTGTGGAAGACATAACTGAGTCCAGACTCAACCCAACAGATCACCTTTGGGATGAGTGCAGACTGAGAGCCAGGCCTTCTGGTCTGACCTCACAAAATATGCTTCTGGTCAAAATATTTTATTTGTTTGAAGGCAGATGAATGATATAGTGTATCTTTCCCTGTATGCGTATTTGTTTATTACAACAATGGCAGTAAGAAACTGATTTAAATGGCTTTGTATAGGATCATTATCACTTTAGCCATCAAATCATTCTACTGACCTTAAAGGAGAGGTCAGAGGTCAAATATCATATGATACAATAGAGATCAAGTTGTAAGAATTAGAGTTTCTTTTTGTTAATTTTCAAGCAGCAAATCATTAAGTTGCACTACAGCGGTGTGGTTGTTGGTCATTCTTAAATCACAGCAAGAAGGTCCAAGGTTCAAATCCAGGTTTTTCCTGTGTGGAGTTTCCACATTGTCCCTGTGACTGTATATTCTGTCTTTCTCCCAAAGGTCATGGTGATTCTAAATTGCCTATAGCAATGAATATTGGTGCAAATGATTGTAATTAGCCCCACAACAGACCAGCCAGGGTGTACCCTGCCTCTCGTCCTATCGCAGTGGGGACAGGCTGCAGCTTCCCACAACTCTGAATTGGGTAAGTGGAAGAAGATGGATGGGTGGTGTCATTTGCTTTCTTTAGCTGCTGATCAACCATTAATCATCAACCACACACACACCAAGGAATATTTTTAGCAACAAAAGAGTAGTTCCCCAAACCTGCACTGCATTAGTGCAAGTATAACCAAACCTCTGAAATAGACAGACCATTTTTAGTTGCACCTTTCTGTGTTAGAAAAGAGAAGAGGGGAATTCCACAAGCTTTCTTTGAAACCCTTTTCCTCCATATAATGGAAACGAGTAACTGGTTATCTAAATTTAGCTAATCTATGCAACAAATTCTAATGAATGTTGAATACATACCAAAAACAACACAAGGCCATATGTCTTTTTTCTTCTAAGGGTCAAAGACGTAATCTGCAGAGTCATGTTTGGTGGACAGATGTGAATGTAAGCTTTAATTTGAGTGGCTGAACATAGAACCACAATACAGTGGTGGTTTTCTTCTTCCTTTTCCTGTGTGTGGTTGAAGAAAACTGTGCAGTCCCTGCAGTGCCATATTTATTTCTCCTTTGACTGCTGCAGCTTTACATCTCTGAACAGCAGAAACCGCCTTTGTGCTCATTATCTCGGATCTTTTCTTTTGAAGAGCTGCTGTTTTTGTTTCCACTGGTAAGACTAATAATTTTCAGTTCTTGGCGTAACACTTTCCTGAACATACCTTGTTTTATATCACGTTTTGTTAACATCTTGAGACACTTTCCTGTAGTTTTGTTTGATGGTTTAATGTGCTCAAAATCATAAATCCATGTATAATAAATATATATCTTTATCTAATCTCATGAAGTTATGATCTTTTATCTTTATATACTCTTCATCATTAATGATAGAATTAAGGTTTCATGGTCATGGGTTAGTTTATCCAATGTTTTGAGTTTTGACTCAGATACCTTTCCTGAAGCAAGCTCAAAGGCAGTGTGTACTTTGAGGGGAATAGTATTAAACTGTGTTTTGTTTTCTTCTTTTTAAACGCACATCAAGGAGTTTGCAGTGCAGTAAAAACGATGCATTTTGGGATTAGCTTGAATGAAAAGCAGATGTGAAATGTAAAATTGAAATCAGAGGTCAAAAGTGACAAAATATTCTAAAGGAACCTATGATGTGATATTTAAAATCCCCATATAACAGTTTTATTTCTTAAACATGGTTAATAAAGTTGGACTTTATTTAACCTTAAAGAAGAGGCCAGAAGTCCAAAGTAGGATGATATGCAGGATCTTACATACACTATATTGCAAAAAGTATTCACTCAACCATCTAAATCGTTGAATTAAGGTGTGCCAATGACATTCAGGGCCACAGGTGTATATAATCAAGCACCAAGGCTTCCAGACTGCATCTACAAACAATTGTTAGAGAATGTGTCACTCTAAGGAGTGAATTCCTGCCTGCTACTGTGATGGTGTGGAAAGTGTTTCCAAGGTCGAACTGCGCCATCCAAATTTTACATCACCAAGTGCAATGCAAAGCATCAGATGCAGTGATGTAAACCCACTGCATTACTGCAGATATGAAAAGCTTCTGAAATAGACAGGCCATTTTTAGTTGTACCTGTCTGTGCTAAAAAAGTGAAGATGGAAATTCTACAAGCTTTCTTTGAATCCCCTTTTTCCATATAATGGAAGTTATCTAATACATATTTAAAGTCAACTAAGCTATTCAACCATTTCTATTGAATGTTGAATATATATCAAAGTCAACAGGAGTCCACATATATCCTTTTTTTAAAAATAGAAAATGTAAATCTGCAGTCATTCTGGTCTGTCTCATTATATGTCCTTCCATTAGGCCTTATTATCATTTCCTATCATCTGTATGCAGATGATATCCAATTGTACCTTTCTTTTAAACCTTGTGAATTGAATAAATTATCTGCGGCAAGAAATTCACAAAGAAAACAATGCATAAGAAAATTACAGGAAGTGAACAAACAGCTTACTCTAAAAAAGGAAGACACTAAAAACTGACAAATGTCAAACACAATATGAAATTGTCTAAACAAGCTTCCGACTGTTTAAATTCTTAAACAGTACTTTCTGTACGTTGGCAATAGAGATCAAGTTGTAAGAATAGGATAGGCTGTCTTACTCTATTTCAGACAGCTTATCCATTCTTGTATTTGTATGATGTCAGTGAGACCGGATGTAAATGTGTTCACCTCATGCATGCAGCTCTGAATATAAGTACTTTAGTCCCACCCACTTGTCCAAACCTTTTTGTGTGGACCAGCCAATCAGAGGAAAGGTAGCTAAAAGGTAAATGTACTTGTTCCACACCGAGGATGAACCCAAGGAAGAGGGCAACTATCATCATGAACAAGGACTTTTTAAAAACTGTGAATCATGCACAGCTACTCTAGCAGAGTCCAAGAATTAAGTCAAGTAAAGTAATATTATCTTTTCTTCCTCTCTGTCAGTTAGTTGAGGAAATACATGGATGAGTAACATTTTGTCAGTTTTCCTGTTCTCTCTTTCTCAGCCACACCATGTTTCCCAATGACTCTCTGCCCACCGACACAGTCAAGCCTTCCAAAGATGACCAGGAAACTATGGTGGGCATCAGTGCCATTATGGACAATGTCAGTATCATTCTCTATGCACTGACTGTTGTGCTCGGCATCACAGGAAACTCTGTGGTCATCTGGGTGGCTGGATTCAAATTTAAGGTGAATACTTCAGTGGATAATACCTTTCAAATACCTTCTGAGCTTGTTAGTAATCTGTTTAGTGAAGTCTGTGGGGTCATATTTATTTTCTACTGTAAAGACAGTAAATACACTTGGGGTTAAGAAACTGTGACCCCTACTGGTGTAGGAGATGGGTGTAGGTGGTTTCACAACATATTCCTGGGATGTGATAGTTATGGTGTGTGTGTTGAGTGAGCAATGCATATAAATATAAACCTCTTTCACCTACTGGGATGTGGTTATCACCACATTCATTTCACACAGATGAACAGAATTAGTAATGGATGGTGTTTCCAAGGTGAAATACCAACAAAACTCCCCACACTCTGAAGTGTGACACATAAATAAGAAGACTGTTTTGAACTTAATTTCTGTTATGATGTTTCTATTTCAAGAGCGATGTGATTAAGTTTATCAAGTTAAGTTAAGTTTATGTACAAAAGGCACTTGTTAGTGTTTGGACTAGTTGAAGACGACTGAGCCTGAAATAAGGTAGAGGATTATGTTTAGTAGCAACATTTATATAAATAGGACCTCATAATAGCTGATAAAATCCCATTCTGGTTACTGTTTCACGTAAATATTACCTTTCATTTTTGTTTTTCCTTTCTTCACTTTTCCATCGTGTTTTATTTTCTTCTTCATCCACAGCCAAAGGTCACCAACTTGTGGCTGGTGAATCTGGCGATAGCAGACCTGATCTTCTGCTTCACACGAGTTTTCTCTCTCACTAAGAAGCTCTTCT